CACACACACACACACACACACACACACACAAGCACAGACATGCAGAATTACTTTTTTTTAACGAGGGAAAACATCCAAAAAAACAACAAACAAAAAATCACAGATAATTACAAATCAAACTAAGCAAAACATGATAAAAAACAAAAAAAACCCCAAAACAAAGACAAAAACCAACACAAACTAAAATACACCAAAAAAATGTTTTTAAAAAAGAATGTTGAGGGAAATGTGGTGTCCAGGGGGTGGGCTGGGGTTGGTCGCACGAATACAGTAGATTATAATATTATATTGATGGCTGCTTGCCATAGGTGAATAAGTCCACGAGGGGCGATTTTCACTTTTTTACTATTTCTTAGCAAACTTTTGACGCTCTACAACCTCAAGAAGTGACAAAGTCCTACCTCTATTATAAATGAAAGAAACAGAGACCTTGTCAAAATATGATTCAGTCCAGAAAGCCCCTTAGGTTTACAGCTAAAACTGAACATTTTTTACATTCAGTTTTACAGGAGTAATTATGACTTAGCATTTGAAAGGCTTATATCTGGCAAAAATGAATAAGTCACGTTATTTCTTTTTGTCAGAAAACATTGGGCTATCTAACAGTGATCAAACCCTGATATTCACTTTCTGTCCTGAACAGTGTCTTGAGCAAGAGGCATTTTGATCTACTGCGCTGCCCTCATCATATTGGGACACTAAGTCTTTACCAGTGCCTCTGGGTTGATCTTTTTTAACATGAGCTTCAACGTAAATGACCACGGCCAGGCAAAAACTCAAAACAAAGATCTCACTCAGTCCAGTACTTTTTTAGACTGTGTCATTTTAAAGCACTTGTGTGCAAAAACTTCTTTTGCAAGACTTTGAACATATCCCATTGACCTATCGATCCTGGCTAAACTGTTTGTTCTTTCATTTTGTTCATTTTGAATAACAGTCACAAAATCAGCATTGACCACCCTGCAAAAAGTGAATAACTCCAAAGTGGTCAGTTTTTTAAAGAAACCTCTTACACCCAAAGCATGACAACTATTCTAACCTTACGATATTCCTGGCAGTATGAGCCTTCAAAACCAGGAATTTCAGCTGTAAGTGGTAACAAAATGGTTGCACGATTTGTAACGCAAAAAACTTTAGATTATATTAAACGTCATTTTCTCAAAACTTACTTTTTGGACTTATTCACCTTTGGCAAGCAACCATCGATATAGGGATAGTAAGCTTCTGTACCAATTATCTTGTTTCATCACTTACCCAATTCTAAAGGTTGTTCCCTGGTACGGTGATTGAGCAGAGTGGTTTATTCTTATAAATTGTTTTGCCTACATAACAGACCTTGCAAAATACTTAAATGAATGGCAAAATAAATAAAATTATAAATAATATGGCATTTCAATGAAGCGCCAGGGAATAAGCAAAATGAAATAACTATTCGTAAAAACATAATTTTAGTTTAGAAAATAAAAGTAAATGGTGAAAAAATAATTTAAATTATAATATCTTATATTGTCAAGGATTGATTATTGCAATTCCTTACTGGCTGGTGTACCTGATGAACAATTACAACAACTA